CCCCAAAACCCCAAAACCCCAAAACCCCTTATAAATATCCAAAAATTGAAATAATTAAAAATGGCATCAAAAATGTTACTTCTCGTCTGAATTTTGGTTGCTTCGCTAACAACAGTAAGAGCACAGGAAGAGAATGACTACACAGTGTACTTGGATTACTCCTTAGAATTCCCCCTTACCTCTGAGGATTTTAGAAACTGGGAGACTCAAGGTGCAGCTATTTTTACAAAAGACAAACTCATTATCAACCCAGAGGTAAAATCCAGGCAAGGTCTCGCCTACAATAAGAAGCCGCTACAAGGTGATGAGTGGATGATTGACGTCCAGTTCCAAGCTGGAAACAACAAAGAATCCACTTTTGGAACAAACGGAATGGGCATCTTCCTCCTCAAAGAAGTCCTGAGTAAAGAGATTGACTCTAGTAATGTTTTTGGATACTCAAACGAGTTCATTGGGGCTGCAGTTCTGCTCAACGCTGGACTTCGAAAAAGAGACACTGAGGATAAGAAGAAAAGACTCGAAGGAGTCCAAGGAGCAGTTTCTGATGGTACAAAACCTCTTAATACTTGGGAGATCCCACATGACAACACCTGCTATTACAAATGGAGAAATTCAAAAGATGATGAAGGGAATGCACTGTTTAATACCTTACGGCTTCATTATAACCAAGACTCATTGGCAGTGTTGTATTATGATTTCAAAGAAAACCAATTCACACACTGCTTCAAAATGGATGCGAAATTCAGTGATGGAGTATACATTGCTATATCGGGAGCTTCTGGTGTGTGGGATCAAGATTATCACTTCATAAAAACTCTTAAGACAATGAACCCTAACAAGATTGATAAAACTCACCATGCAGAAGAAGCTAAAAAGATTAAAGGGAAAAGATTTATTGAAACCCTCAAATCTGGAGATGTTATGCATGAAAATAGGCTTAAATACGAAGATATCGACGACCTCATCAAGAAAGTCAATGGAGAGATTTCTAAATTCAAATATCATTCCCTTGTTGTAGAGAATTTAATCAAGAGGAACCGGGATAAACTTCCTGATGACCAGAACCATTTACTAAATCTTGAAAGAATGAATACAGATCTAAACACAATCATGAGGGACTTCAACACGCTTGAAAGAATGATGGCTTACACAAATAGCTTAATAATCGAGGTGGAAAAGAGGCCTCCGATCAGACTTCCCCAAAACAACAACCAAATCGAAAGCCAAGTTAGTGCTCAAAGGGCTCAACTAGAGAATGATATCAGAGAATTAAGCATTAGAGCAGTAAACCTAGAGAAGCTAAGAGAGGTCCATTCGGAGAAGAAGGAAGTCGCTCGGCAAGTTGAGAAGTCAAGAAGAGACCAGCTTAGTCAATCTAGAATGTCTAATGACATCCCTCAAGGAGCTATTTCTCCAGAGTTACACCAGATTATTGAGAACTCAAAGCAAGAGATTAGGTCTCAGACTGAAAGTGGGGGAAGCTGGCTTAAGACCATCCTGACTTGGACTGCACTTGTAGGAATTGCATACTTCATGTACTCAATCTACAAAGGCCTGAAGGAAGAGCATGCTAAACTCTAAAATAGGTAATTCAATACTTGAGCTCTATTCCGGGGTTTTGGGGTTTTGGGGTTTTGGGGTTTTGGGG